AATCCATTATGTTGGTTTTGTCATGACACAAATCATGTTTCAATGATTATGACAAAAGTATTGTTTCAATGTTTCCAGCTTCCAAATCAAAAGTTAAAATTATAATGCCTCTTGAACAATGATCATACTGCAGCAGTATATATAGTAAAATAGTAAAAATACCTTTATCTATCTCCATATTTGGAGTTTACCCTTTATCTCCATATTTGGAGGTACCCTTCAGTACTTATCAACAAATATAAGCTTTGAGTAGCAGATATGTATTCCTGTCAGTGATTTCTTTTCAAAGAAAGATCAGATGATGCAGTTTTTGGGATATATACATGTTCAACAAACACAGTATTTTGTATCGTGATATGATTTATTTAAGGCTGAACTCTTCTTTGTGACCTATTTGTTTGATTAATGTCAGTAGTTTCAATCTTTTTATGTATGACTGTGAATATAGAAGTTATTACAAGCGCTATATTTTCAAAGAAAAAAGGTTCTATTGTTGGAGTAGCTCCGCAAACTTTAACATTTTCAAAATTTATTTATTTTTCAATGGATTGCCTTCATACTTGAACCACAATAACTCTTTGGACAAAACTTTCAAAGTTGAACCCTTCTCTTATAAATGACCTTGACCTTCAAGGTTAAATGTTTGAATTTTGCTATAATTGGCTATAACTGTTATACGTGAATGGGTTGTCTTTATACATGGACACAACAATCCTTTGGACAAGACCTTCAAGTAGACTATGACCTTCACTCATCAGTGACCTTGACCTTAAAGTGTATTTTTGCTTAACTTTTGATATAATTGGCTCTAACTTGGTCATTTATGAATGGATTGTCCTCATTCTTGAGCACAACTTCCTTTAAAGGACAATTTGTTAAAGAAGATTAAACTCAATTCTAACTTGACTCATAAATGACCTTGACCTTTGAATTATATTTTGTTCTAGAAAATTATGTTTTCTAAGGAGTATTCTTTAAGTACAATAATCTTCCTCTAATGTGTTTGACTGTTGAAGGAAGAAAAAGTCGAACATTGCTCCCACTTGGCAGTGGCTCTTGCCTTTTATTTGTCATAGCAAGACAAACAATAGTAATGTGTATAGGAAGATATGATAATAATGGTTCCTGTACTTGAAAATAAAAGATGATTGATAAAGGTTATAATTTTTTACTGTTATATGATACAGTAGCTAAAGGTTATACTCCGGGCCTGTATTTGCTAAATCAGGTATAATTGAGTAATATAATTAACCTAATTGAGTTTGTGAATATTTTAAAACCTGTGTTACTGTTTTGACCTCATTGACTTTGATGCAGAGATGTGTTGTGTTGATCAATGGGAGAATAAATACATTCAATAATGAAGAGATAAAACAATTGGACAGGTAGACTATAATAATTATATTGAAAGCACTCAATTATACATGGTGTTTTATTTATCAGAAATACCACCCATAAAGACTCCCAAAGAAAAAAAAAAAAAATAAATAAATAAATATATATATATATATATATTCCAGTGACATATTGAAAGGTGATTAATGTACATGTATATAGGATGATATTTGTTAGCATGTATTAATTTTGAATGGTGCAGCTGGGCATCATAATCAAAATGGAATTAACCTTACAAACACTTACCTATTTAGTGGTTGGGTTGCCTTTAAGGGTTGAGGCATTAGAATTGGGTTTGGTGATTGTGAGTGGTGACTAAATGGATTTGAATACTGGAGTCTATATATCTGTTAGCTCCAGCAGGTGAGGTGGCTTTTACCTGTGGTGTTGCTTTAAGTTTATAACACCCGAGGTTAGCCAAAATCATCTTTCCTGTTTCCGTGCAATATGACCGAAATTGTGTTGGTGCGCTGTAAAGCCAAACAAAACAAACTTAGTGGTTGAAGTTAAATTTTGAATAATTGCACAGACCCTGGTATATGACTATGATAGCCTGATTTTTAGCTCGACTTTTCTATGAAAAGGGGAGCTATCCTACTCGCCCCGGCGTCGGCGTCGGCGTTGGCGTCACACCTTGGTTAAGTTTTTCGTACCACCCCACTTTATTTCAGAAGTATTACAAGTATGGCTTTGAAACTTACCATACTTGTTCACCATCATAACCTCCATCTACAGACAAGAGTACATAACTCTGTCAAGGTTTTTGACAGAATTATGGCCCTTTTTTGACTTAGAAAGTGTATTGAGCTTGGTTAAGTTTTTTGTACCACCTCACTTTATTTCAAAACCATTGGAGGTATTGCTTTGAAACTGACCATACTTGTTTACCATCACGACCTTCATCAACAGACAAGAGGACATAACTCTGTCAAGGTTTTTGACAGAATTATGCCCCTTTTTGACTTAGAAAATACATTGAATATGGGTAAAATCCACTTATTGCCTTAACCCTTTGAGATATTGCTTTGAAACTTTTAATGCTATTTCACATCATTACCCCCATCTGTACGCAAGAGAAGGTAACTCTGTCAAGGATTTTGTTTTAAAAATTAAGGCCTTTTATCGACTTAGAATCTTGGTTAAGTTTTTAGTACCAGTCCACTTTTTGACTGAACTGTTTGAGATATTAATTTGAAAGTTGGAATACTTGTTTACAATCATGATTCCCAAACATGTCCAGGAGAAGGTAATTCTGTCAAAGATTTTATTTGAATTATGGCCCTTAACTGTCAATGTTTTGTATTATAGGCAAGCACTAAAAAACTTAAAAAATCTAAAAAAATTCATTCCTATCCACTTGTTCACTTTACCATAAATTATGTCATATAAACATTGCTGTAATATTCAAGGGTATCAAACAACTAGTTATTTTTCTCTTTTTGTACTTGAAATTAAAATCAGTAGTATATGCATATTTCACATTTTATCTCGCCTATTACTGCAAAAACTTTTTTTATTGGCAAGCAATAAAAAAGTCGAGCGCGCTGTCTTACGGACAGCTCTTGTATGGATATATAGCATTATATGACAAAATGTTGCAGATTATATAAAGTGTTAAAATGGCCATTTGCAGTAATTTTAGGATACACAGCCCCATTCCCCTCCTTTTAAAGTATATATTTTCCCTACATTTCTGAAAAAAATCCCCTCCAATCCATCCATTGATTGATGTTAAAATGCTTGGCAAAAATGTTTTGAAAATGATGAGGATATCACAGTCTAGTAGATCTCCATTTCAAAGGTCAAAGCCACATTGTATGTCCAAAGTCATCAACAGGTAGTGTCTTAAACATAATTCATGTTATGGCACATTGAGCTGATGGTGTCACTCAGTCATAAGCAATTAAGGTTTTTAGCCCAAAGGTCAAGGACACATTTTAACTTGAAAGTAAATTTTCCATAAAAGTGGATTGATGTTCTTGTCCAGTCAACATTGATGGAATTATAGTCACTTTGTGCATATCTTTAGCTGTTCCACTGTTTATAGCAGAGACATAGGTCAAACTTAGACTTCAAGCATAATATTTCTTAAAAGTGCTAATTATGAATTAGGATGACATTTATTCAAGAGGCATTTCAGCAGCTCTTGTAAAAATTCCTGTAACTTTACCTATTTAACATTTAATTATGTTATTGGTGTACATTTGTATCACATTTCGTATAATGTATATTATTTCTATAATTTTTTTTATCACATTTTGATGTTACATGTGCCTTTATAGGTCATTGGGACATGTCTAAAAGTAGGTTAAAATGACATGTTTATTTCTAAAAATAAGATTATTATTTCATTTATTATGTCAGAGACAAAATCGTTACTCATCTTTAAAAGCTCATTATATAATCCTATGGAAAAAAAATGTCTACCTGTACGATAATTTGAATTGACATATCGGAACTGACGTCCATAAAAGATGACTGATACAATTTTAATGAATATGTAACACGCTTCTGTTTTTTTTAAATAGTACAACTGCATAGACATGTCGACGTTAAGAAGACAGATAGCTAAAAACTTAATTAATGTCGTGCTATATATAGAACATTTCTTGATCGACTTGCACGCTTTTCAGTTTATGTAGGTCAGCGATGATGTATTATTTTAACGTTGCAGTCGTTTACCAAAATGTTAATCATAGTGAAGCATCTCAGATGTACTGTCTGCAACATAAATGCCGTAATTAATTATTGCTAGAAATTAAGTTTTATACTGTAAAATACATGTCATTTTTACATTAATATAAAGAGGTATGATTTATTATTTTTGACACTTGAGCGTTGCATGTGTATTTAGGCTATAGTTACAGGGTTACTTCAGTTTACCAGCCATTTAAATTTTATTTTAAGCTTTTCGGGTTCAAGACAATCTAGGTATTAGTATGATAAGAATCAGGTTTCCTCTTTGTCAACAGACCTGTCTTCTGCTTCTTAAGTGCTAGTCAGATATACTTCAAACTTGCCATGAAGTATTATCCTATTGTATGCTCAAATAATGGACCATTTCATATGGCTTAAAATAGAAAGATGGCAATTAACAATCATTCTCATGAGTCGATGGAATGTATGATTATCATGCCACACTGGGATAATGTCTTTAATTAAATGGTCAATCTTTCAATCTGGACAAAACAATTTCGAATGGATTTTTTTTCCCCTACTTTTAGGGTCAGTTTTACAATAATTAATGACTGAAGACCATGATCATATATGGCATGGATGTGCTGGCTGATCTTGGTCAGCTCTGGTTGCATGTGTATATTTAATAGCCTTCTTTTGGCTATTATTATGTAACCTACATCACACAAAATATGAACTTGTCCATCTATCAAGCTTGACAAAACCAAATAATTATATCTTGATCAGTGGTAACAATGATCAGGCAGCACAGAATTACACCATATTATTTTGCTCCGGTAGAAGGTCTGTTGCTGCCAGAAGGCTAAGGACAACCAAAGGACTTGTCAACTAAACAATTACAATATAACTTGGTTAATGTTATATACATTTAGAAATGTCTAATGGATTGCTTTCCTTTCTATTTTCAGGTAATGACTATATATGGGGAACAGGCAAAGTTGGGAAAAAATGTGAAGGTAGGTGAAACAAGTATTTTAGATAAAGGTATCTTGTAATGCAGTGATCTATGTATATAATTATTATGGGAAGATTAAGCTGACCTATAGCTTTTCTTACCATGCTATCGCCATAGCATAAGTAATGATGGTCTTAAGTGATAATAAGAAGAAGGGATTGTGCTTCAAGACCTTGCCAGTTTTAACCTCAGTAAGCCATAAGTGATGGACTTGTGTTCAAAGGTCAAAGTACTTATACAAATTAGACTGGTTGCATCTTGCAGGCACTACTATACATGTACCTCAAAAGGTAAAATTTTACTTTTACGGACAATTGCAGTTTCAAAGCCTACATGAAAACTTTTCCTCTAACCCAAATAGAAAATATCTTATTTCATTTTCTTTTATTTATGACAACAGCTGTAAGGGAGCAAAAACAAATAATAATTAGTTTTCTGTTGTCTGGGTTTTGTTTTTGTATTGCAGATGTTTTGAAATGTTTGTACTAGGCAAATATTAAGTCTGTATAAATTATGATACAGAACTTCATGGAATTTATCTAAATGAGAAACTTACACAAAATTCTCCTTGGTCATTACCAAACAGTCAGGGCCAGCAAAATCTGATTTTGACTTACTTGTCAATTTTTATGTGAAGCATTTTTTAACTTGTCCCTATGATATTGACATAGTTATTTCTTGAATATTTTCACTTGTCCGTACAGGTTGTGGGACAACCTGGGCAATACAGACAATTGATTTTGCCGCCCCTTGTTACAGGTGTATGATATTTTATTTACCTAATATATGCATCAGGTTGATAAACGCATTTAAATGCACATGCTACAAGATACATAATTAAACATAATTAAAAATAAAATTTGGGGTTTTTTGTTGTTTTTTTGTGACTTTGATTAAATTTTGCAAGCATCTAACAGACACTGGCAGAAAGAAATTGTCTTGGTTTATTTTGCTTTAGTTTTGTGTTTTGTTTGACATAGTTTTTCATGAGGAATTAGATGATTTGCATCTGGCATAACTCTCTTAACCTTTATTATGGAAATGTTAAAAATTGTGACCCCCAGGTATTACTTGATGCAAATTTCACCACCATGAGACATAGTACAATGTATTGTTTGCATGGACCAAAGGTCAGGGTTAGACTTTAGGGAAATACGGGTACTAGTCACCAAGATGAAGGTCACTATTAAAGAGGTCAAAGGTCAGGTAAAAAATATGAAAATTTGTGTATGATCAATTTGTAGTCTATATCACAAATGTTCACATGAATAATAGTGTCAGAGTATTGCCAGTATAATTCAAGTTATGTGTATAAAGGTCAAGGTCAACGGAGATAATTTAATGTCCAGATTTTGTACTTAAAATGCATCAAGGTCATAGTATTACTTGGCACAAATGTTCACCATCATGAAATTGGGTTTACACAAAGCAACCAGCTCTCTTGGTCAAAGGTCAAGGTCACACTTAGAGGTCAGAGGAAAACACAAGCCCCTGTGCATGCTTACATGGTGATCTTGGGTTTCCAGACGTTTGTCTTGATAACCAGGAAAAGAGAAGACTGCATGATTTGGAAACTAGTAAAGACTTAAGTCTTGCCATTTGATGATCACAAGCCCAGAAACTTAAAATAGTAATAAAATAATAAATAATAAGCATTGTTCAAACACCTTTTTTCAGTGCCAAAATAGTTCTGACAATGCACTGTAGATTGATATTGCTTTAAGTTTGCTTTGTTTGAAGAACTAGGTCACGGTATGTTCAGGAAAAGTACAAATTTGCTTATCTTAATTACTTTCTATTAATGATTAATGGAAGCAAAACTTCTCTCCTTTGACTACATAAGCATTAATGTGAAAAGTCAATAATTACAAAATCCTTAAACCATAGAAAATTACAAGCTGTCAATTAAGCTTTGAAAGAATAAGTTTTGAGGGGGAAAGTAAGAAGACATAAATATGTACTTTTAACTTTATTAAACAAGGTACAGAGGAAGAGAAAGACAAGAGAAACAGAGATACTGCAAAATCATTATTTGTCGGGCACAAGTTTTCATGGTTTTCAGGAATAGGTCAGTTCACAAATGTATGATCCAAGAAATTTCATTGCGTCTGCTGCAAGAGTATTTTGCATCACATATACTGTTTATTGGCGACGCCGGTGAGCGGCGTCGTCTATTATGGAACGCTTTTTATTTTTGCCTATGGAAGGAGCTGTTATTATTAGCAGTTAATTTCATGTTGTGTTAATTAGTTTTATTTTGATTCGTAAAAATCAAGTAAACAAATGTGTTATTATATTTGTATTTAATAACTTTTTATAAAAAGCATGTGCATTGTGATATTATTTTCACGAAATTTCAGGTTAAGTTTAACAGCTTGTCCCTTAGTTTTAATGACAATACTAAAACCCGGATTTCGAATATCGTTGTGGTCTAGATTGAGGCCGTATCAGTTCATTCATTCATTTATACATTTTCAAAATTTTCCTACAAGAAGAAAGTTCACCTGCAATTGAGTATAAGGATAGGTAATGGAACTGTTGTAAACGATTATCCTATTGATTTTATCCTTATTACATTTATCTGTTGCGCAGAATGGTTGTTTTTACAAAGTGTACCAGTATCCCGGATGTTGAAAGCTATCCGATTTTCTGCAATTACTGCTGACACATGGCCATCTATTTTTTTATGAATACATTACCATTAATTTGCATGGCTTGATAAAACTGAACCTGCAGCATTTCATAATTTTGCTGTTTAGGGTGTTCTTTTGGGTTTCAGGTTTTCTTTATTTTTAAGGGGAAGTAACTCATGTTTACTAAATTATTTGTTCTTTTCTGTCTATCTTAGGTATTACTTATAATACTATTTTTGTTGTATATAATTCACCAGTTGTAAGGTCATCAAAAGCATGTTAATGTTAATGTTAGGATTTCATATTTATTTAATATAAACTGGGAATTATTAATGTTATGTGCATACATGTATATCTTAGACAGTAGTATATTGATATGTTGAGACTTATAATTTTTCTGCATTTAAAGAGATACAGTTATGTCATTATTATTAAAGGGATGAGACTTTCATTTAAAGTTATAAATGATAAAACATGTATTGATTGAAAATGTCCTTAAACTTGGATCAAGCAATATAATTAATAAAGTCTCAAAAAATCATATTCTGAATAGTTATTCTATTTTTTTTCTAACATGTGCATAGTTTGAAAAGGACAGCTTCTGTCTTATCTATTTGTAATGAAGAGACACCGGTCTCAACCTCCAGGTCTCCTGAGTCCTTCGTAAAATTTCTTATGTTGGTCACAGGTTTGAGTTCTGGTCAAGCTCAAAGTTTTTCTCATCCTGTGACTGCATATAAGCATGAGTTCAATTTCCTATGCTCTGTAACATAAGAAATTCACGAACACAAATCGATATAGTGGGGAAATATGTTGTGGTTTAGAACTGTTTCATTATTAAAGAGAAAATGTGTAGCAGGCCGGATAGCTCAGTTGGTCTTCTGAAAGTCATGGGTTCGAGTCATGGTCAGGCAGTTTCAGTCAGGGTTTAGAAGTGGTTTTTCAATTGACACATGTTTGATTCATTTAACAGATTGCATTATTTGAAATGGACAAAGGCAGTATTGCATGATACTTTTAGATCTACAAAGGGCATTTGATACAGTTGAACACACTATCCTGCACATGAAGAAGTTGTTTTTCTTCTTCTTCATGAAACTTCAAGCATCTGCCATATATAATGACATTCTTACATGGTTTAAGTCTTATCTCTGATAGTAGCTGGTTGATGTGGCTGGTACTCATTCTACTACTGCTCTGGGAGTACCTATGCTGTCCCCCTGATGTTCATTTTAGGTCCTCTTTTATGTCTAATATATGTCAATTACATGTCTTCAACCCTAAGCAATAAGCTTTTATTATAATGCACAGGCACGAGTATCAGACCTTGGAAAAAAAAATATGGCCAGATTGATAAAAAAACCTGTGTTCATCTTAAAAGTGTCAACAACCAAAATAAAATGTAAATAATGACCCCCTTTAAAAATATACTTCAAGTTGATAGTATATTTTAAAGGGGATCATTATTTACATTTTTTGTTTTGGTTTTTATAAAACACAGTTTTTTTATCAATTGGTCATATTTTTTCTTCCCAGGTCCGATACTCGTGCCAGTGATTATATGCTGATGACTCAGGAATCCTTGTGTCTCATAAATAAATCTGAAGAAATTCTTTCTTATAGCATAAGTCTTATAAGATTGCTTAATTGACTATAAATTGTCTTTGCATCTTGGCAAGACAGAGTCTATTCTTCTTTGGTTTAAGTTTCAACTTAAACTGGCCCTAGCCTCCAGGTCACATGTAATGGTACTGCTATAAAGTACACATCTTTTGTTAAGTATTTAGGTGCAAATCTGGATCAAATTCTTTTGGCGTCGCCCTTTGATGCTTTGCATCAATGATTTTCTTGTTTTACCTTTTGGAAAATTAACAAAACCCTGTGACAAAACCATGAAATTTCATCTCCATGAAATTAAGTGAATTTACAGAACCTTTGCAACAATTAGTTATCATTTTTTTTTATTAAAATGATACAAAAAAGGAGACAGTGGTCATTATTATGTGATCATTGAAAGTTATTTTGGTCATATGAAATTATACACAGAATAAAATGTTTCATTGGAAATATTGAAAACACTATTTATAAGTAAGATAATTGGATTTTCAGAAAGGTGTGGTAGACATAATTATATAACATATCAGAAAAAAAACCCAACTATTTAGGCAACAATTTTCAATACAAAGCTAAATACAGGTATTTAGAGGTAATAGAGGATGGTCACTAAGGGCAGGTAGTGTAGTTACCAAGGCGATCTTGTTTTTTCTGAGGCCCACATGGAAACTGAATGTGTAAGCCTCTTTAAATAAAGTTGTTATATCCTTACTTACTTACTTACTTACTTTTATATGTAACAAATGGTTGACTTTTTTAACATGATGCCCAATAATAGTAACACTCATACTCATTGAATGTATGTAGTCTGTGTTTAAGAAGGGTCCATCAAACTGTTAAGGTACAAAATGCAGCGTTCCCTGTCCAGTACAGACCCCAGTTATGACACAACTTGTGTCCTTAAAGGATGCAATTTCCATGCAATTCCACAGAGTATTAGCCAAATACAGTTGACTCTCAATAAGTCAAAATCGCTTTACTCAAAATTCCGCGTAAGTCGAAGAATTTCTAAAGTCCCGTCAAATTTCCTTCTTTATCTTTGTATTTTAACTCCGCTTAGGTCAAATTTTGACTTACCGAGACTCCTGTTTAGTCGAAAAGAAAATTTGGTCCCGTCGATTAAAGTCCAACATATTTTCATCTCAATTAGTCGAAGTGTGAAATCAGCCGACTGATCAAAGGTCGGCAACATCATGGTGTGATGTTGTCACTCGTGATTTACACGTTTCATAGTAATTATTTTTTAATTGCCGGTCATCATATGTATTATTAACACGTCGTATAAGTGGCTTTAATCCGTTTCAGCACTTAATTGGTTTTAACAGTTAGATAACTAAATTAAAATTTGATTACATTTCTTTAAGAAAGTTGACTCGTGCCAGTCTGACGGGTGTTAGTCAAATAACAGCCTATGTATTGATGTGTGTTACCAACGTAAATGACATTTGTATAATTAATGTTCCGTCATTTTGCATACATTTATTTGTACTCCTTGTTCACAATAGTTGCTACTTTCGTTTTCGTCCGATGATCAATTAAATCAAATATAATTGTGTGTATATGTTTCACTATTAATATACATGTATTAAATTTTGAATGATATATTTTTTTTCATTTATAATTATGCCCCCATTTCGAAGAAAAGGGGGTATATTGCTTTGCACTTGTCGGTCCGTCGGTCCGTAGACCAAATGGTTTCCGAGTGATAACTAAAGATCCCTTAGGCCTAGGAACTTCAAACTTGGTATGGTGATTGGTCATGACCAGTAGATGACCCCTATTGATTTTGGGGTCAAGGGGTCAAAGGTCAAGGTCACATTGACCTTGTAAGCAAAAACGGTTTCCGATCAATAACTAAAGAACCTTAAGGCCTAGGAACTTCAAACTTGGTATGGTGATTGGTCATGATCAGTAGATGACCCCTATTGATTTTGGGGTCAAGGGGTCAAAGTTCAAGGTCACATTGACCTTGTAAGTCAAAACGGTTTCCGATCAATAACTAAAGAACCTTAAGGCCTAGGAACTTCAAACTTGGTATGGTGATTGGTCATGACCAGTAGATGACCCCTATTGATTTTGGGGTCAAGGGGTCAAAGGTCAAGGTCACATTGACCTTGTAAGCAAAAACGGTTTCCGATCAATAACTAAAGAACCTTAAGGCTTAGGAACTTCAAACTTGGTATGGTGATTGGTCATGATCAGTAGATGACCCCTATTGATTTTGGGGTCAAGGGGTCAAAGGTCAAGGTCACATTGACCTTGTAAGCAAAAACGGTTTCCGATCAATAACTAAAGAACCTTAAGGCCTAGGAACTTCAAACTTGGTATGGTGATTGGTCATGATCAGTAGATGACCCCTATTGATTTTGGGGTGAAGGGGTCAAAGGTCAAGGTCACATTGACCTTGTAAGCAAAAACGGTTTCCGATCAATAACTAAAGAACCTTAAGGCCTAGGAACTTCAAACTTGGTATGGTGATTGGTCATGACCAGTAGATGACCCCTATTGATTTTGGGGTCAAGGGGTCAAAGGTCAAGGTCACATTGACCTTGTAGGTAAAAACAGTTTCCGATCAATAACTAAAGAACCCTTAGACCTAGGAACTTCAAACTTGGTATGGTGATTGGTCATGACCAGCAGATGACCTATTGATTTTGGGGTCAAGGGGTCAAAGGTCAAGGTCGCATTGACCTTGTAGGTAAAAACGGTTTCCGATCAATTAACTAAAAACGCTTAGGCCTAGGAACTTCAAACTTTGTATGATGATTGGTAGTGACCAGCAGATGACCCCTATTGAGTTTTGGGTCAAGGGGTCAAAGGTTAAGGTCATGACTAGTAGATACTTGATAACCCTTATTAATTGTTTGATCACTGGATCAGAAGTCATGCATAATAACCTTTTACATGACTAATTGGCTGCTGATAGGGGGCATACATGTTTTACAAACATATCTTGTTTGTAGTTGTAAGTGATTTACCGTCATTTCAACGGTTAAATATTGCAGCATTGCCGCTAACAACAATAACAAACCTACTTCTTTGCACATTTAATCAGGCACATGTATATACATGTACGAATGTCAACGTAATGGCGGCAGTTCCACGTTACTCGAATTCCGTTTCTCTCGAAGTAAAATGCCCAGTCCCTTGGATTTCGAGTTACCGAGAGTCAACTGTATATGAATTTTGAGCCAAAAAAATGTCACTCACATGAGACCCTAAATGTAAAGTAACCTGAGACAATAATGAAAGGATATAGCCCTTCAAAAGGCTGATAGTGTCCTTACAAGCTGTCTATCTGTGCTACGGGCTCACACACCCTAGCACACCATCCTCATTGTCTCTGTGTACATCATAGGGACACTCCCCTTGGCATAAGTCAGGACACAGGTAGCTGGTCAGCAGTTTATGTTCTGGTCTTGTTTTTTTTAACATCCAATGTTTTTCAAATCTTCTGCTGATGCCCTGTGCCTTCTCAACAACATGTACATTAGGAAGTGAGATGTCATTAAAGTGTACTTTGATGCCATTTTAGTAAAAAGAATTTTGAAAAATTTGCATTTCATTGAAAATGCTAAACAAACCTAATCATTAATTTTTTTATGTTTCATTAAAATTGCTGGTACTGGTATACATTTGTTATATTTGTTTTATTGTACACAAAAAAACAAACAGAATATAAGCTTATTGTTGCAGTTTCCTCCCCTGATCAGCATGACATAGTCACTGTGCAGGGAAGGGTTTGAATAAAAGATCAAGATGCCTTTTTTAAGACTGAGTGAAATCTAAAATCATAAATAATAAATTATATGTTGCCAATATTTGCAAAATCACATTCCATCTAACATTTCTTGAATACTTGATTGATACATTTATTGTGCCATTTGTTAGCAGGTAACATTTATATTGGACTGATTTTTGCTAGTGTACAATAAACTTGTCGGGCTTTCATATACATGTAGTTTAGTCTATATACTATTGAATTAAGAAATAAATTTCATGCTAAGTCTTATCTTTTCTTTTAATGTAAATACTTCAAATTGACAGTTGTGATGAAAATCTGCTAATTTGTTCTAACAAGCAGTAAATCAAGCAGCAGAAAATATGTTTTACGGTTTTGTTCCATATAAATCTAAGAAGAGAAAATAAGTTCTATTTTTGGAAAATGTTATGCCTGAAATAGAACGAGAAAGCTATTTTCTTTTCTATCATGATTTTATATGAACTTGTTGGAACTTTAATATTGAAAATATAAGACTTTCATATGTTTTAAGTTATAAAAGAAGAATGATTATCAATTATTCAGTATAACTAATGCCTAAAGGCGACTAAATTTGGAACTTCCGTTATTATTTTCAATATTAGGAAGCTGAAATATGTCATAATCAGCACTGGTATTAGGAGAATTTATGGAACAAATGTTACTTATAGGTATTTCTTAAAACTGTATCAAAAATAGATTGCCCGAAAGCTGAAACCAAAGAAAATGTCAACACTATTAGTAGTATGTGAAGTAACACGTAAACAATGTGGCATGATACTGGTAACCAATGTTACTGAAAACCAATGAAGTAAAAGACAATGAATATTTACAGAACAGAGCAAATTTCACAAACATGTTTACAGAAAAAGACTTAGAACACGTACAATATGCATGATGAAATTGCTAGCAGACCAAATGCAAATAAACATGCCAATGAATTTACACATACAAATGAGCAGCGTCACGACAAAACCAACATAATGGGTTTGCGACAAGCACGGATCCAGACCAGCCTGTGCATCTGCGCAGTCTGATCAGGATCCAATGCTGTGCGCTATCAGTTTCTTTACTTGTTATAGAGTTAGTAAGCGAACAGCATGGATCCTGATCAGACTGCACGGATGCATGCTGGTCGCAAACCCATTATGTTGGTTTGTCATGACAAGGCTCAAATACAGATTATTGAATATTAATACAGACATGGATTTTGTGACTACTACCACAAAGGCACAAACTTTGAATGACCACGAGTCAAAAGCTGTATTTACAATTGCTTGAATAATGTTTGTTGATACTTGAATGAGCAAAGAAATGTTTCTCTGTGAAACTAAAACAAAATAGCACATAGAATATAATGTTGTATAGCACTGTATAATAAACCTATGCAAAAGTTACACAAATAATTCACCTTTTGTCAAATAATGGCTGTGTTCTTTAAGTTGGTTAAAACATTAAAAAAAACTTACTCTTTGATAAATGAAATAATAAATTCCAAAGCTTTTGAAATGTTTGGTGTGTATATATTATCTAATAGTCATCTTATTTAAAATAGATCAATCATTAACCTTATGTCAAATTTAACAGATTTTTTAAAGGCCTCCCCATCCCCCCCTCCTCCCACAGACTTAGAGGAGAGGTCATATAGATTTGCTCTTTCTGATCCTGCTGCCTCAAGTAGTGGATTGTGGGGGACATCATCAATGTCCTCTGAACTTAAATAGTTTCTTTCCAGACACTTAATATCAAATACTAAATAATATTTATATTTTATGTATTGTTTACTATGTAACTGATTACAAATCATTATTTTGTAGCATGTGGTGCTTGTTGCCATGACTGCTGCGTAGAATCTGCCAAAAGCACCTGCCAAAGAGTTAGGACAGAAGAAAATTTTACATCAGATAGAAGCGTGGTAAGTGCCCTTTTTGGACATGATAATAACTAGTAAGAATGTTTGTTACAGATGCTTGTTTTTGTGATAATTTGAAATGTGACATGCTATGGGACACAGACAAGAAGGAAAAACAGACAAGCTCAACTCTTAAAAGGGACACAGAAAACAGAAAAAACCAGACTGGCATACTTTTCAGTGGGACTTTTATTTCATATTGAACTCTCTAAAATGTCAGTCCTATTGAAAAAAAGTGAAATGAAAAATTATTTTGATGTAATAACTTTTATCTGATTGACTTCAAGCATAATTTGCATTAATACTCGGAGGTTATTGTCATGGCTCCTTGTCAGTGTTGTATTCCACGAACCCTTTGAGTGCTAATTTTGTATTGACGGCCTTTGAGTGCCTATTTTACATGAACAGTTTGATGGCTAATTTTGAGTGCTCATTTTGCTTGAGCCCTATGAGTGCTTTTCTGCATGGACCCTTTGAGTGCTAATTTTGTATGGACCCTTTGAATGCTTATTTTACATGAACACTTTGATAGCTAATTTTGAGAGCTAATTTTGCATGAACCTTTGGGTGCTCATTTTGCACGAACCTTTGAGTGTTATTTTGCATGAACTTATTGCGTGAATCTTTTGATGGGTAATTTTGCATGACTCTTATATCTGCTAATATGTGTTTTCTATAGGACTGTCATTTAGTATTGTGACATCCAACATTTGATTCAATTTAGATTATCAATACCATTAAAAACACATTTCTCCAAGTCTTGTGTAAATATCTCTGAATTTTCATTATTAAAATCACTTTCTTGTACTTCATGAACTGTAAGGATTGTTTCAAATTCAAAGCAAATGACTATTAATTGTTCATTGCAAAAAAGGGAAATGAGCAGAGGGTTTTTTTTTAACCTTCTGTATATGTACTTAAGTGTTAGTCATTAGGTTTTGATTTGTTGTCAAAATAGCAAGGGATATGTGCAACTGGCAGTGTCTCCGTGGTCGAGGGGTTAGAGTCGATGACTTCTAATCCAGTAACCTCTCTGGCGTGGGTTCGATCCCCGGGAGATGCTTTGGTAGTTTAGCGTGGAGGAAGGTAGTCTTAGGTACTGGTGTAACTCTCCAGGAACGATGGTTAGGAAACTACCCGCCTATATGACTGAAATACTGTTGGGAAAAGGTGTAAAATGAAACATACAAACAAAACAGTGTCAGGTGTAAAGCTTGGGTTTTTGGAAGGGCCTTTACCATTAGTATCAAAACCTGTAAAGTTTTCTATGGTATGGGGGGACATAGTCTCAAGATCACTCTGAAATGATTAAGGTAAGTAACAATGGACAATTTCCAAATTGAACACATGGCAGATTTGTAACACATTTCATCTGATGAAGTAGAAAGATTTTGTTAATGTTTTTATATTTCTAGAATATATCATACATGTACATACACATGATGTCATTGCCAGATTTATCTAAATCTAGCTTATATACAGAGATTTTTGTCCGCTAGCTGTATGTCATTAACCTATTGGAAAAAAAAAAGAGCTTGGAGGGATTGGCTCTGTATAGAATCGAATATATTCGGCATAGAGGTCAAGCCGTATGACCAGTTCTTGATATATGTGTACGTGACTGTGTAGGAGCAGTAATGGTTATTCATTTTCCAATACAGCATCTGGCGTGGAAAGAGACTGAGTTTATACTGACCATTTTTCCCCCTATATGGCCTGATTTAGATCATTTCCGACAATCGTGTTTTTTTATTTCTGAGACTAAACCATTATGAATGGCAGTGCTATGAATGGTTATTTTAGTCCAAGGGACTTGTCTGTCAAAATGTTAAAATCTAAAGCAGCCAACATTTAGTTATAGAGTATGGTAATCCTAAAAAAATTCAATGAAGATTCAGGTTGGCCTATGCCTTATAATTTTTAGATTTCTTTAATGCTTGAAGTTGTATTTATGTTTTCTTGTAAAATAATGTACATTGTAATGGTAGCAAAAAGGGAACCCTCTGTGAGAATGCATACCAGGAAGAATAAAAATAAACAGTGTGAATATTTTTTAAAAAGATTGAATGGGTGTTAATTTGTTCTTTGGAGTGATGTAGATAGGTGTGTCTGTATCATGGAGGTGTGGTTTATTTGACAGCAATCTGTTAGAGAAGATGATGCTGATATCATCATAACAATCAATATTTATGGCCTACATTGTATATTTATTACCATACAGCCTTGCCATATAAACTGTAAAATTAATAGGTTAAAAAGCCCAGAGTCTATGGTAATTTAATGCTTAAAGGTTTAATGGGAGTAATGACCTCTAAGATCGAAGAATGAAACCCCAGTACACTGAGCAACTGGCTGGAGAAGAATAGACAATTGCTGAACACGAGGACATGAAGACTGTCGACAAGGAACATTACACAAGGTATTAGACAAGATGTACAGTGGACATTGACCTCTGTCCTAAAGGTTCTGGACTGTCTGATGACCTTTGTCTTCTACCTAAGAGGAACCCAAACATCCAAAAAGAAGACAATATTTCCTCAGTGCTACAGCAAGTTTGAGTGGCCTGAAGGTTACACCATTATAGATACAACAACAACCTAACAAATGGGAAACCACTAGAGAAAGTAGAGAAATTTACATACAAATGTTCCAGGGCAGCAATTGAAGTTACTGCAACAGAAGAATGGGAGACTATAGCAAAGAATTTGACAAGCTGTGGAGATCTACTGTACTCAGCACTCATACTATGGTCAGGATCTTCAACAGCAATGTTCTCTGTGATCTTCTCTTGGGATCAGAGTGATTTAACCCCTCCGTTTCCATAGAAAATATTTTCAATGCTTTATCAATTGACCTATGAATGCCTCCTGACACATTTCCTTAAGATTTACTCTTTCATGGACACTGGCATGGGAGCAGAGACCGACCAAGAGAAACCTGCAGACAAACTGTTCAGAAGGACCTGAAATAATAGAAATGGCACCTCCTTATAAGCTGTAGATAGAACCAGATGGAGATCCCTTGCAGTTGCTTCAAGCACCAGACAGCACAGAGTGAGTGAGTCAGTGATTGTCAGTCAGTGATTGAATGGCAGGATATGAATATTTCTATAGTGCTTCCAAAAGTCTCAACACAGTATTCAATACTGTTTAAGTATCAGTTGTTATGAAATTGACTGAAAAAAGTTTGTACAAGTTATAGGGTATATCAAATTGTTTTGCTGACTTAAGAAATTTAATTCAGTTTAGACATAATATCACAGTTAATAAAATATTTCCCAATTCTACTTAACCTTGTCAAAATAATGGTACTCTGCTGATTGTACAGGTTGTTTAACATGAGCGCAATGCTTATCCTTGTCTTTGGCTGACTGTATAACTTCAAATTTTCCATCATTTACTTGTATGCCCAAGATTAATGGACATTTGCTGACATTGACAGTCACAAAACTGGACACCGGTCAAGCCCATTTTTAAAAATTCTGTAATTGAGATGCATTCTATATCTTAAAAAAGTGTCACCGATTAACTTTTATGACATATTGCATCCGGATATTTGTACAAAGTCATGTTTAAATTTGGTTTAACCAATGGTTGAAAATTTAATCTTTGCCTGAATTAATGGCAATGCACTCAAAACTCACACCTTTAAGCCTTAGCAAGATCACATGTGCAGTAAATTACAGCTTTGTAAATAATCCGTATACAGTGCTTTTAAAGTAACTTGAAAACTTTGTTTGGTACAATCAAATTTGAGACTGATCTTCGAACATTTCGCCCTTTTTTGTATTATCTTCAAACATTATTCTAGCTGAATTCATACTGAGGGTAGATGGGTACAAGTTCTCGAGCCTAGAATAGGCTTACAAAAATAGATCAGAGATCTTAGTCTAAATCTGTGATAGCTTCTATAATTATGATTATAATGGTACCTTTTGTTCTTTCAGTGTACAATAGTGCTATCAAAGAAAAAATTATCGGTATTTTTAATTGAAAGACATAATTAAAAACAAACGTATCAGATTTACCTTTTATCTAGATAGGTATTATTATAGAAATATCAAAGCTTTTGAAGATAAATATTCAATGTCATGGCAGAGTTTAAAAGATAATATTCAATTAAAACTTCTGTGTCAATCAGTTGTGGGGTCTACCTGTTATAATTGTTTAAAATCTAACCAAACTTAAATATATAAAACAATTGTCTTCATCTAAATTAATTATAATTTATGATGTTTGTCTATAGTTTCTGTTTAAATTGAGAGCCAGCCAAGCTAAAATCATTAACAAATTTTTTTTACAAACTGATTTGAATTCCGAAGATATGTTGTTTTTAAAACAAACTTAATTAAGAATAATTATGAAGTTGCTAATGTGTTAATTATACCAAAAAGGTTTGTTTACCTTAAAGCATTGTTTTTTGGTGGTTTGTTCGTCAAGCAGCTGGGATACATCTTAACCAAATTAAGAGCTTTTGATATCTTTAAAAGTGCATTTTAAATTCATTTCAGTTTGTTTTTTATTCTATTTTTGCACATGTGTGCGTGGTACTGTTGACACATAGTTAATTAAAGATTTCATCACCAACAAATTCGGCTTAAAGTATAAATACAGATATGACAAATCATCTTTATTTCAATGGTCTCTTTCTAATGTTGGTTACCCTGTAACCTGATGGTCAATTTTGTTTAATGTACTTGCTCCAAATTGAATTTGAAGCAGTCCAGTAGTAGTTCAAGGGATTTTAGTATCACATGAAATAGATTTAGTAAGAAATGAAGCAAGTAAAGATTGAGCAGACACACCTGTCACAGGAATTGGTGAATCAGCATGCTTGATAATATAGTTACATATCCTATTAGGTTAATTTAGATCAGTTAAGGCCCAATACCTCTTATACCGTTGATTTCTGGGTTGTTTCCATATTGGTGGGTTGTTTTCATATTGGTTGAGACCCGATATCTCTTATACCGATGATTTCTGGGTTGTTTCCGTAATGGTTGA